CTTGTTCGATATTTAAAAATATCTGTTAAGTATTTACATATTTTATTAATTATTAGATATATATAATACATATTCAATACGTATTCGATTCGATATAATATTCAATATGAGTACGCTGACTTTGACAAAATATCTGAAATTCATTGATGAGAGCTACGAAGTTGAAGTAGTAAACTTTATAAAGGGTTTTGTTTTTCTTGTTCTTTTTTGAGGTACAGTGAGCAATATCTTGCAAGATGAGTAATGCCCAAGTGTCTTTATGACCAACAAACCACAATATTTAAGGCCAAAGAACCAAAGGTGAACCAATGGTGATGCTTAAATTTTGGCAAACACTTTTTTGAGTCACACTTACACCCTCTCCTTTGTATATCCTTCAATCTCTCTCCTCCTATTCCATCTCCCCCTCCCAATCCTTTCTTGTCATCACTTTTCTTTCGTCTCTCCTTGATTCTCCATCAACAAGTGTATCCATTCTTATCTTTTCTTCCTGTGTTAGGCGGATGAAAGATAGAAATAGATCGTGTTAAAGTGGAGATAAAGAGAATAGAAAACAACACTAATCGACAAGTTACATTCTCAAAGCGTAGAAATGGACTCATGAAGAAGGCCTACGAGCTTTCCATTTGTGACATTGATATTGCTCTAATAATGTTCTCTCCATCTAGTCGCCTGAATCTCTTCTCCGGTAGAAAAAGGTTCAAATATTTACCTCAATTTTCTATATTTCTCTTAAATATATGTATTTATGGAACTCATTGGGGTCTTCTTATTCTAAGTTTTGTGGAATTTCAATAAATGTACTAATAATTCCCATTTCTTCTCCCATTCCTTTATTGTTTCTTTTGCTTCTATATTAATGCTTGATTTTGAAATATTTTTTGTCGGCCTATTATAATTATTTTGTTGTTGTTGGAAAAAAATCAGGATTGAAGATGTGTTTTCTCGTTTGGTGTATCTCTCAGACCAAGAACCAGAAAAGTATGCTCTTAAGTTATTTATTCATTTCTTTTTGGTTATTTTTATTGCTCATTTCTCAATTGACTTGTTGATTGACCACAATAATCTATTTCAAGCAGTCCTTTAGCTTCCCTGAACCAAGAAAAAGAACAGTATGTACTCACAAACTCGTTCCAATTCTGGAATTAATTTTTAAGATTCATGTTTAATTCATTACGATGATCCTAATTTATGTTCATTTATGCCGTGTGCTCCATAACAAAGAGGTAAGATGATGATTCTAATGCTCTTGCTTGCTTTTTTTTTTTTTCCCATGTAATTTTTATGAGAGGGTGCATCTCTCTCCGGTTGTTATATTTACTTAATTCAGGATTTAGATTTTTTTCAACATTTTTTTCCGTCACGTCTCTTCTTGTTAGATCGTCAACCAATTACCTTCTTGAGAGATCCAACTTATGTCCAATAACTTCTCTTTGAATTCATGATAGATAATCTGCCAAGAAAAAAAATTGAGTGAATATATATTAGAAGAGATCTCACTCACTTAATCATGCCATTAGTCTCTATCTTTATCATCATATATATATATAGGAAACTTAGGTGCCCATGTATAGTAGTCCAATTTTATTGATTGAGCCTACACTTTGCTAATTAAGTAAGTTAGATGTAATCCAGCTCAAGTCACGGTGGTTAGCTGGTAAGCTTGAGTATGTAGTTGACGCAAGATTCAACACCTGTAGCCCCCCCCCCCCCCCCCCCCAAAAAAAAAGAGAGACATTATCACACAGAAGATTTAGATTGACTGACACTAGGGCGCATCGCAATTGAAATGAGAATGATCAATATTATTTGGACTAGGTAAATCCATTGCTAACTATATTCCTACTAAAAGCTTTGCATTCATGCAGCATTTGATCAGCACCCTAAACAGACTCAGGTGTGAAAATGATGTTGCTCCTCCTCAGGCAACCAAGTTTGTTTCTCTCTCTCTCTCTCTCTCTGTCTATATATATATATGTGTGAGTGTGTGTCCATTTCTGCTTCTAACTTTGATTGATTTCATGGTTCGTTATGTCTTCTCTCACTACATATAACAATTTTTGGAAGCAGTCCAGCCGCTATTAGCTCTGAAATCGAGGTAATATTTTTTGAAGAGGTTGTGCAAACAAATCAATACATCGAGTCCTTCGCCAGTTTTCCAATTAAGTTCTTTTGTCCATTTCAGGAACTCGAGAAGGAAATTAGAGGGTTACAACAACAACTTCAAACGGCTGAGGAACACCTCAGGTTCTCTTATGCTTTTGTCCCTTGAAAAAATGGATGCTATAATGTCGAAAATCGATAGAATTAAAGAAATGTTGGATAATGTTTGGATTCCCTCGATATCTATAAAATTGAACAGACTGTGAAAGATCCAGACCATCCTTCAATGTGGTATTGGAATAGCTTATCTAACCTTTGCAGGGAAAATTCGATGTAACAGAAGAAAAAATTAGGAAAGTGGCAGTGGATTATGCATTAGGTTTCCAGTAATAAAATGGATTAGATCTCCAAATTAAGTCTCGATAGCATTTTAATTTTTGTTATATGCACTGCAAAAGGCAAATCAATTTTAGTTAAGGAATTTGTAGCTACCTATAGCTTTTAATCACTCTAATATCAAAATTTCCACGTATATTTTGCTTAGTTTCCAAATTCCCCCTAATTTTCTTTAAACATTCAACTTTCAGTGACTAAATAGTGTACTGATTCTTCAAACACTATTAATTTCCAGGAATTTTGTGCCTGATTCACTGAAGATGACATCCATGGAGGAGCTTGAATCATGTGAAAGACATCTCCAAAACACCTTGGCTTGTGTCATGGATAGAAAGGTGTATGTTATTTTCATGAAAAAAAAAATTATTAAGTAGTCCTATTCTCCTCTATGACTCCGATATATTCTTTAGATTTAACATTTGCATGTGTGTAAAGAAAAAGCTTTGTGCGTGGGCTTAGGTTGATTACTGGCCATGAGTTCAAATGGGCTCGGTTGGTGAGAGTTCCTGGCTTACATTTAATTTCATTTGAATTTTGTGTGCCGGTTCTTTCTTCTTTTAACCTAAGCATGACAGATATTTTAATTCCTTGTATATTGTTGTTTTGATTGCAGAAATATTTGTTGGGTAACCATCTATCTTCCTATGATCCACACTGTTTGGAGGTAATTAACAGAGAGACTATACTATTACTTGTGCCCCCTTTTGTCTTGCAGTGTTTAGGGTCCATGCCCAGCCCATTGGGTTACTCTATTACAAGTTTTCTTGATTTCTCTTTAAATTTTTGGGATCATGTACAACTTGAGCAATGCTACATGAACTTAAAAAATAGACTTAATAATCTTAACCATTGATTTCACTGTAGGTCCCAGTATTTATTAGGATCCACTACCTATTCAATGGTTGAGATTATCAAGTCTAGTTTTTAAGTCTATGTAGCATTATTCTTACAACTTTTAAGGTAATTTGAGATCGATCCCGGGTACTTGAAAAATTGTAGCATGACCTCTAAAGTTGTAAAATTTTTTTATTATAAATAAACTCAAAAACTTTTATATCAACCTACAAAACTAGTAAAATTCAATGGTATGATACTGAAAAAAAAAAATTCGGTATCATAATCTTCTCCTGAATTATGATATATTATCAAGATTATAAGCATAAAATCTGTGTACATTCTCAACACGAGAAGCCAACCTCTTTTCGAAATGGTGTTTGTTGGTCCCACGACAAGAGTCATAACCAGACCCATCTATTTGATCCTCTGAGGTTATTACTCATTCCTCTCTCAAGTCTTCACCAGTAAATGAGAGATATACAATGATAGAAAAAAGTTTTTTGTACTTAATTTGCCAATGTTATTTGCTATCCACACGAATTTATCATAATCATTAAAATGATAATGAGTCTTAATTAATATTGGAGTTCAATTTCAGTCTAATGATAATGATTTATTAGACCAACAAATTTGATAAATAAATAAAGTATAAGTAGAATTGTTCCTAATCATACTTCCATGTTATTTACAGGGATAATTTGCCCACAGTGTATGATTCATTTTCGCAAGGAAGCACCTCAAACATGGACCATGTCAGCATTGTAGAGTGTCATGCCATTAATGGTACGGATGAAAGAGACCCATATCTCAACTGGTTTTCTCTTTGCTGATATTCCACCAGCTTTTTTCAATTTTGTCACTTTCTCGTACAATCTTATTGTTGGAGTTTAAAGTTGTGGGGTCGCTGTCCCAATTGCTGGACCTTAAGGTCACAAGTTGCTTTCTTTCCTGTAATAGTGGCTGACCAAAATAAAAAACCAAGAAATCCGAAGTGGCACAGTTTTTATCTTAGAAACTAATTCGCTCAATCCAAAAAAGACAGTTATATTCTCTAAGGGCATGTTTGGCATATAAGTTTTAGATGGAATTAAAATAGTGGATTTTTGTGAAAATAGTCCAATGCACCTTGCTGAAACTCATTTGGGTGGTGGGGGAGAGTGGGTTTTAAAAGTGAAAGATTGGATTTGAAAACAAAAATACTATTTTATCTAGAAATTTATTCTTCTATTTACTAATAAGAGACATTTTAATAAATTGAGTAATATATTTTAATATGAATCCATGAATCCCACATATATTTATGTCATCTACCAATCATGAGATTAGATAAGATATTTGATTTAATCCCACATAGAAATGCCTTGGATTGGGTTTAAAGGGCTTTCTAAAACCAATTCAATTCCCCATACATGCCCCAACGGTAGTGGCAACGTGTTATCTCAAATGGGCCGGACCAATTTCAGCTACTGTGCATTCTAGACTTGAGAAATTTTTTGTGTTCTCTTCTAGAGCCCACCCAGATCAGCGGACCCACGCCCGATTCGGACCCTATCTTTAGCAACCCTGATCTGGTCCATCTAGACCCTACATTGCATGCCACTTTAATTCACGGTATATAATTTATCCAAAAAAAAAAACTGTACTAGAATGGATCTCATATGATGGGCTATGCTAAAAAAATGAGAAATTAAAATAAAATAGTTGATCTTATTATAACAATACGGTTCTCCCTCCTTCTTGCAACTTAAGTTGCATTTGGTCCGATTCTTTACTATCATTATGGTCAATATCACCACCAAAACGCTACACATATAGAAAGGATATGAGCCTTCAACAATTGCCCCGACCGATCATTTTCCTGTTAAGGGAAGCATCTACAGCTTCACAAACAGTGAGGAACACCGATCCTTTCCCAATTTTATCGACAAATTTTGCCAACTTCAGCTTATGAATCACTTGCCATCTTGGATTTGCCATAGCCAACTGCAAGAGCATAAATGAAAATATTTTTAGAGAATGTAAACAAATATCGATTATGATTTTAAAAAAAATTCGTGAGTAAAGATTATAGTCTCACTTCTATGCCTTGCGTGACCGTCTTGTTCTGTAGTTCTTCTAATGTAAGGATTCCCGAAGTGTCAATGTTCATCACATCTATCACAGAACATATCAAAATTGACATATGATCAGTGAATCAAAATGTATGATTTTTGTAATCATATAATGAAAACTTACTTGACATGTCTAAGATTAATGCATGAATCCTTTCCTTTGCATTTTCTTCAATTTCATCCTCTTCTCTCACTAACCTCATGATCCTAAAACAAATACAATTCGCAGCTTATTTTAGGAAAAAAATTGATCACATCTTTAGTGGCCCAACATGAAAGCAACCCTCCCAAATGGGGGTTGGTGGACACATGAGCATGGGGTTAGCAGATGGGCTATGGCTGGCTTGACCCGTCACTCGGCAGCCGTTTACCCTTTGAATAGAACCATGGTGGTTAGTTTTGGTCATTTAATTGAGCATAGAGTTCGTTTCAAAAAAAAAATTGAGCATAGGGTTGGCAAAATGCCCAAGTAATTATTATTTTTTTTTATTTTGACACCAAAAATTAAAAAAGATAGAAAGTCACTCAAACAAATTTTTTCAGTTTTTTAAAGAACACCCAAAATAATTTTGGGGAACTTTTTTAACTATCATTTTTTTGCGAAACTTTTTAAACCATAATTTTTCACTTAAAAAAGTCAGCTTTAGATAGGCCCAATATATGAGATTCACTTATTTACTTATTATGCACTTATTGAAGGGTGATACCATGTGACGATAATGATGTGGTATCACTGTTTTTTGTCCGCTTTGAGGGACTATACCACTCAGATGGACCCCTTGGTCCTTGAACGGAGCTGCCTGGCCGAATCAATTGATTGGGCAACAGCCCCACCCACGGCCAGCCTTCAAATGAACATATGTGAAAATTTTACCTTTCTCTTATGAAATTGGCGTTTGCAAAACAAAGTGAACCAGAGTTGATACGTATTATGAGGGTGCCTGGAGTTGTAATGGCCATGGGATATTGTCTGATGTTACAGAAGATATCTGTTCTTGGAAGCCTCCCTAGGACTTCTATACCAGGTCTAATGGAGTTCAGTATTATCTTTGCAAATGAGATTGTAACCTGCAATATAACCAAATATATAATATCAGAGATGTATTTTAATTTGATGCTTAAATCTGATTGCATAATAAGTATATGTCCTCTATAAAACAAAAAAGAGAAAGGAAAAAAAAGATCATATAACGGGCAGAGTGCAATGAATGCCCTATTTTAATAACTATATTAAATTAGAAAATGATCCACCAAATGTCCCTGTGAGAATGGGCCAACCATTTTTCATTGAGGTCGCATAGAGTGATTTCGATTGAATGATCATGGCTCTTAACTTTTTTAGACGTACCACATGTAATTATTTTTTATTTATTTTTTTAATAAATTATTTATTATGGATTCAAATGTGACCGAATACAAATAAGTGGGTCCCTTACTTAGGTGATCATCTTAAAAAAAAAAATATTGGTCTTCTACAAATCAAATTGCAGACAATAGGACACATCTGACATCACAAAGGGTTGCCCCCTGTTTTGGGTGGCCACCATTGGTGATAAAAAGATGAGCATGAACTACTCATTATGGGGCCCAAGAGTCCAGCTCCATTAAGAGATGGAACCCACCTTTTGTGTTTTTTCGTTCATGAGTATATTGATTTCATTTTCATTCAACATATTCCATACGATATGCTCGAGTACATTACAATAACAATCTCTCTTACATGGGCCAACTTTGGGCTATTTTCTATGATGCAATGAGATGTTATTACAGATTTGAAAGGGTAACAAGACGGCATTAAAATTCTATGAGAGGGCATTATTTTATTCATCAACAAAAACCCAAGTAATTAAAAATGGTAAAAGATGTAAATTCACACACCTTAAGGTTGAGTGCACCATTATTTATATACAACCAGTGTTATGCATATGATTAACAAGTGATTGTATATACTCTTTCCGTTCCTAAATATCTGTCTTTTTATACAATTTTTTTTATTTTATAATATCTGTCGTTTTATAAAATCAAAGTATAATTAATATTTTTTTTTTCAAATTTACTCTTATCTATGTTTTTCAATAAGTGTTTAATAGATTAAGTGTAGACTAAATACTTTTCATATTCCTTTCCAATACGCATTGAATAAGGTATTTTAGTCTTGTGTAATTATTTTTGAGTAATGCTAGACTGATCAAATTTGGGGACCAAATTTAGAGCCCAAATGATATGACAGTTGATTATTTGAAGTTTTTATTAGAGCCCAAATGACATGACACCGATCAAAAAACTCCAAGTTAACTGCCATGTCATTTGGATTCTAAATTTGGTCTCTAAATTTGGTCAGTCTAGCATTACTGATTATTTTTTTATTTATATTAGAGCTATTTAATAGTTTTCTTAATTCCTGTGCAAAAACCTTAAACGACAGATATTTATGAACGAAGGGAGTATTTGAAAATAGTTACGTTACGATCATGATTCTAAAAAACATATAATTGATTCGATTTCCCATCAAACACAATATTTAAGTCTATGCCTACATATATGCATGTGCAAATGCTTCACAATATCAATCAAAGAGAGAGAAGAAAAAGAAAAATAAATAATTACCGCGGCTAAAAGACCAATCTCCACTGATCCAAATAAGATGCCGAAGAAGGCACCAATACAAGCAAGGAAGTCTAGTTTATCGACCTTCCAAATGTTGTAAGCTTCATTAATGTCGATCAGTCCAGGAAGAGCAGATAAGATGATCGAAGCCAGGATGGCGATGGGAGTGAAGTATAATAGTCTTGTGAACAACTCTAGTGATATGAGCACTGTAATGGCCATCACCATATTTGATACCACAGTTTCACAGCCAGCAGTGAAATTCACAGCAGTCCGTGAGAATGAACCTGTAGACACATTTCCCAAATGTTTATCGAACATTGATATTCAAAAGTGGTAATCTTATACACAACTCGACAGTGGAATGATAAATGAGTCAAGTTAGTATCAAACATGTACAACCAGATATTTATATGAAAAAACCCATTTAATTTGTACCATATGTAGGAAACAATTTTTTTTTTTTTCATTTATTTATGGTGTTGCATGTAGTGTGGAATTAAACGGTTTTTGATCTGCTTTTATCTACAATACATTTGGTTGTATTGGAATATCTTGTTCACGGGTTACACGTGTCAAGTTAAGCATGACTCGAACTCAAATGACACGACTTCAATATAATTTGAATTAGGAAAGATATGATTCAACACAACTCGCCTGGATTGCTACTGTTGGTATCCCATTTTATAGATAGAGGGAACAAAAAGTAACAAAAGTTCTGCAAAAGGGCTCACCAGTTGCAGCATAGCAAGAAGTGAATGATCCTGCAATGTTCATGAACCCCATGGCCATCATTTCCTTGTTCCCATCAAGGTGATAGCCTCTTATGGAAGCAAAAGACCTTCCAACAGCAATGGCTTCCTGAGATTGAAATTGAATATACAGTTAGAACATGTATTTCCACCCTTTTTTTTTTTGAAACAATTCAATGGAGAGAGAGGTGTTTTTGGAACAGACAGTAAGAGCAACAATGGCACAAATCAATCCGATTTTCGCTGCTTGTCCTACATGTGGACCATTGAGTTGTAACTGATGAACTGAACTTTGATTCAACCCTCCTTTGAAATGTTTTACAATTTTAACTCCATGTTTGTCTGCTTTCGTTAGGTAGACTATCAAGGTGGATAAAATGACTGATACAAGAGGTGCAATGGCTGGCAACCAGAAGAGTTTGTTGTTCCTTCTGCCCTGCAAATTAGAAAGGGGTTACTATAAGACAATGAAGGAAATCGAAACAAATGCTCAAATGAAGCAAATAGTGATGGTAGAATTTCGCTACTTACAATAAACCTGCTAATTAGGATGAAGATGAAGAACGAACACCCGATGACGAAATTCAAAGGATACCACTGCGACATAAAGCACAAGGGAGAAACAGAAGATCATCAAAATTAGTCATAAACAGCAATTCATAGTACAGTACAAAAAAATGCATACTTTTGGCGACCATTTTGGTTTCCCTAAAAAGGTTACAATTTCTTTTAACTTCATAAAATATTGAGAGACTACCTAATTTCGTCTCTCAAAAAAGGGATCTTATGCGACGATTTGGTAAAAGGATCGCTTGCTCAATATAGGCAAGACTACTAAAAATTGTCACAGAATGTCTTTTAGCGATGATTTTCAAAATCGTCACCAAAAATTATCTATAAAAGTAATTTTTGTTGTAGTACAGATTATTATTAGCACGCTTATTATAGAGTCGATGGATCATTTTTTTTCTAATCATTACCACAAAAGAAAAAAAGTGAAAAGATAACCTAATTCCAATAATTCTCTGTTCATTTCCAATGGGAGAATCCGTATGTCTTAGAAGATTATTTTGGTACTTGAAAAGTTGAGATAACTTTTTATTAGTAAGAAAAAAGTGAAAAATACAGAATCGAGAAAACCTCAATCCATGATCATCTCCTAGGCCAACTTACTGAATGGCTAAGTGATCTGAAAACGACCTCCACCACAGAGACCACATCGGTTTTAGTGGTGAAATGACTAATACCAAGTAACCCCTTCAGTTGTTGGAGGCCAATGACGATGGCTGCACCACCCATAAATCCAACAATGGCAGCGTGTGAGAGAAAATCCACAAGGAAGCCCAACCTATCGAAAAAAATATTCAATAAAAGGTAATATTAGATTTATTCCGACATATTTAAAGAAAATACGTTTCGAACAGACACATAACCACACACACTCGGAACGAAAAATTAAAACCAGAACGAGCTTTTTGAGGAAAAACAACCTGAATAATCCAAAGACAGCTTGGAAGGTGCCAGCAAAGAAAGTGACAGTGAAAACAACTTTTCTATAAGCGACTGGATCAGCTATGGGATCTACAATTTTCTGAATCATGGAGGATAGAAGCAAAGAAACCACCGCTACTGGACCAATGGCAATCTCTCTTGAGCTCCCCATTACAGCATAAATCAGAGGAGGGACAACACTTGTATCTAAGCACAAATACACCAAAATCACACATTAATACGGTAAAATTTTTCATTTTCATTCGTAGTCGACAAGTTGCTAGTTACAATCAGACAATTGCATTCAGTCATACTCAGAGAAACTCTAAGCATAATATTAAATTTCACAGCAAGAAATTGAACTTTTAGCCTCGACAATTGTTGTAGCTACATGACGACGTTTTATGGCTGATAAGCTTAAAATTTTAGCCACGATATATATCCGAAAATGCCACTAAAGGTACAATTTTTTTTAGTGCAGAGTGATTAAACAAGCTTCGGCAACTTACAGAGGCCATATTGAGGATCCAGTTTTGCCAAATTAGCATAACCAATGCTCTGCAAGAATTCCACATATATAAGAGATAAATAAGACAACCCAATACATGAAACTCGTCCCGATATAATATTGTAGTGATCTGTTCCTCTACTTGGCAACAGAAGTTGTAATTCCCGCATACCTGAGGAACGCTGAGACTGGCAAGAGTTAAACCTGCCATCAAGTCCTTCTTAAACATCGAGGCTTTATAGTTTCTTCCCCAGCTTAGGATTGGAAATAGGCTCTTGAAGAATGAAAAAACTGGTCTGAATCTAGACTGCTTGGTGGATGGTGCAGAGAGTTTGTGTGCATGAGGAAAGAGGGTCTCTCTCACTGAACTGATGAGATCTTTCCATGGAGGAGGTGGGTCTGGAGAATTAAGCAACCAATGTGCCCTCTCAGTTCGTAAGTTGTCCTCTAGGTCGAGCTCTTGCCCTTCCACACTTATTCTGTCAGTGGTCATGGAACCCATTTTCTTGAAGTTCTTGGGGAAACTCCCACAGCAATGTCATTTGTAGTAATCTCATAAAACCAGTAGATTAAAATAATGAATAAACAAAAAATTTATCAATGATATCGGAATATGGCCGTGGTACCTACCACTCTAATTACACCTATTTAAAACTAATTATATGACATAATTTATTAATTTAATCCATTTCATTAATAGTGGATCCACTTAGTATTAGGGTCTAGTGTCAATCTAATGGGCGTGTTTAATTAAGTTAGTAAATTATGTATAAATAACATTGTTCTTAGTTTGCTTAAGATAATTAATCTTAAAATTAATAAAATAAAGTAATATAATTTAAAGCTTTTATATGTTACATGTTTTGATTAAAATCAATAAAAAAATCAAAAAATAATTTTTTTAATATAATAAATTTTTGGTATACGTTTTCATAATTGATGGAATCAAAATATAATTTATTCATAAAGAATGGTGTTGAGTTTGTAAATTTGAACACCGGATCACATTTGTGTGCATTGCATAGCCTAAATGCATAGATCTTTCTTTATTTTCAATAATATTATTTTGAAATAATTTATTGATTTAATTAATTATAATTATTAAATTTAATAACAAATAATAAAATTACTATCAATTTAAAAATTATATATAATTAAATTAATAAATTAGGTCTACTCTGGAGGATTGCTAATTGATTTGCTTTGCCATCATCAATGTAAAAGATGTTTGGTTTGGACGAGTATCTGTATACAAAAAATAGGACCTGAAAAGACCCAACCGCGTGTGGGACATGCGACTCGACTGATAAATGCCTGACCCATACCAGATTTTCACGTGGAAAGATAGGTTAACTGCATCCAAACAGATGTTCTTGGAGTGTGATCAAAATGCTGTTTCAACTTAATTTGGATATTTAGCCTAAAATCTAATTAATTGTAACTACTGAATTTAAAATGAGTTCTATTTAACTTTAAAATTTATAAATAATTTAATGATTGTAATGAATAGAGTCGGCCAATAAAAATTAGGGCCCTAAGCAAAGGCCCTTCAACAATTTAATACAAAAATTAAAATAATATATATTAATAATTTTATTTAAAATTACCGAAATACAAATATTTATTGTAATATGATCGACTATATTTTTTAACATTCCCATCTTTATTTGTTTCTCTTTCAAATTGCTTGATGTTTATTATATTTTTTTTGTAAAATTATTTTGTTATTTCTTATTGTGTTAAGAGTGATGAAGTGTTCAACTATTGAATCTTCACTTCAAGTTATTATCATTTTTTTATTATTGGTAACAAATATATCAATGACTCATCTTTTTTGGATTGAATTAATCATTCATTTTTCCTTTTTACGCTTTTCATAATATGATTTATATTTTGGAATTATTGGAGAACTTATTGTGCTGAAAGTCCATTCGGAGAAAATATTTAACTAAAAGTCTATTTCATAATTGAAAGGCTAATCTATCCTCAAAGAATTATACTACGTGAACTTAAAAAATAGACTTAAAAATTACATTTGATAATTATAACAATTGATTTTGATGGTGTATTTCAATGTGATGAGAATTTGTGATGATGAGTAAATGAAAGAAAATTATATTGGAATTGTTGGGATCTGAGCTACTAGACTCGAGTGAATGATACTGAGAATTGTCAGGGAATTGGAGAATTAACACAGTAGAAATATAATGGTTCACCAGCTCGGGAGCTCGGTTATTCTACTTTTTAATGAAGACTCTTGCTCCTTGTCTTTCTATAATGATGATTGCAATAGTACAATGACTAGTTTTTGCCTCTAGAGTTTCCCTCGTTTCTTGGGGGCGTTACATAGTATTTATAGGGTTGTTCCCTATTCAGTGGGATCTTAGCCGAGATTTTTGTCCTTATTTGGGGTTCTCCTTGATTATAGGAGAAGATTTTGGTTGGTTGCGATTAGGTGCCTTGATTATTGCTTTCTAACGCTTTTAGGAACCTCTCGTGATCTTCCAGCTGTTGCCTTAGTTGTTATTGCCCTTGCTTATCTCGAAGGGACCTCCAGCTTAACTCTTCCGAGTTCTGTTTGTCTAGTTTGATCTCCTGAGCTGAGCTGACCTTCTGAGCTGGCGTTTGAGATTTATTTTGAAGTATCATTAGTTGCCCCCCAGTCCTTGGCCCAAGTGGGCTTGGGCATGGGCTGAGCTGCTTTTACCTTGGACCAGACTTGCGCCTAGCTGACCTTAGCCTGCATGTGAGATGCACGTGGAAGGGGTTTTTGACGGTATAAACAATCATGGCTCCCTTATTTTCCGCGCACATCTCACCCCACGTCCTTCAAGCCTTAAATGCTCAAAACGGCTGAAAGAAAACGTACAAAACCACCGTTCATCTTCTACGTTGTTCACCTTCGTCTTCGGCTCTTTCTCTTTGTGATTTTTGGGCTTTACTCCACGCGATTCCCTTATTCTCTGCTCTAGACTGTGTTTTATGGGTTCGACTTGAAGTCCTGCTTTGTTCCTCTCCTCTAATTTTGTTCTTTGGCTGCTATTTGTTGCTCTTCTTCCCTGTCTAGGTACGTTTCCTTGTGCCCCTTTCTTTTTCTGTTGCCTCTCCTTACTCTGGATCCCTCGACTTCAAGGTGGCCATTATTTTTCTAGGTTTTTCGCTTCTTTTTCTTTTGGAATCGCGATTGTTGCCTATCTCCTTTTCCCCGCTTTGTGGATTGAAACTCCACTGTGCGAATTCTTACTGTCGGGAGGTACAATGTTGACCCTAGGATTATCAGGGGGTGTTTAGTTAGTATCCCTCCTTTTTATAATTATTTTGATTTGCCTTTTTCTTTGCCAATCATGTCTGCCTTCTCTGGAGCAACTCTCTCCTCTATTTCCCTCATAGGTGATAGGTCTGCCGAGAGAGATTCTGATTTAGGAGATGTAGGTGATGAGATCGACAACTTTCCCGGTGTTGAGGCTGTCGATACCGAGATGGACTCCAAGGAACTCCCCTCATCTTCCTCTCATGTACCTCCTAGTGCTAATAAGGGTAAGGGCAAGGTGAGTGAGGTTGGGATTCCTGATAGTACAGCGGGTATGGGGGCTGCCTTCAGGCATACTGAGCTCGTGGGTCCCAGTGGGGTGGATCCTATTCTCATGTAAGCTCTCAGTGCTCATTTTGATTTTCCCCCTGGTGTTCAGCCCTGGTGCCCAGATAAATTCACCCCATACGTTGCCCAAGTGCACAAAAGAGTTTGTTTCTTTGTGGCCGCTTTCGAGAATGACCTTCGTTTTCCTATGCACCCCTTCATCAAAATGTTCTGCAGCACCTCAATGTCTGGTCTGCTCAGCTTTCTCCTAACTTCTGGGGTGTTTTAGTGGGTGTTTTTAGTTTTCTTTAAGAAGCATGTGCTTGGGACTCCCACCATTTCTCTGTTTATGGACATTTTCAATGTTAAGCTTACCTCAACTGAGGGCTTTCTATATGTTTCTAGACAGACCTCGTCTAGGCAGATCATCACACACCTCCCGAGCTCTCATAAAGGCTGGAAAAAGAATTTCTTTTTCGTTGGGGGTGTCAACTGGGAATACAACCCTGCTGATAAAATAGACACTCTTGGGATTCCCAGAGCCTGGTCCGCCTCAGATAACTTAGGTGAGTTCTTGCCTGATTAAACTGCGGTTTGAAGATTTATAAGTTATTTTCCTGACCTCTGCACTTTTGGTGTTCCTCTTTTCTTAGGCATTCGACCTGAACTCAGCGCCAAGGACAAACGGGTGAAGCTGAAGTTGGCTAAGTGTAATCCAGAGAGATACTCTGAGCTCCTTAAGCCCTGGGAATTAGAAAGGCAGGGATTCGGCTCTCCTCCAATCCCACTTTCCTTTATCCGACCTAAGGGCGTAGAAGGTAATGTTCTTTCCCTTATTTGATTTCATTGTTTTTTTCCCTTTCTTTTTTTCTTTCGACTAACCAGCTTAATTCAAATCTCTCAGGGTCTTATATGATGAAGCCTACCCCTGAGATGCTCCAAGCTAAGGTAGAGCTATTGAAGAAGAAAAACAAGGGTAATATCAAGCGCAAGGCTGAGGGCAGTTCTGGTGGGAGCCCAGTTACTCGAGCTAAAGTTCAGAAAATGGGTACTTCCTCTGCCTTTGTCCAGAAGGCTCTACCATGCCCCCTACATGCTTCACCAGCCTCAGGACCTCCTTTCCTGGGCGAGACCGATCATCCCCTTTTGCATCTGAAGTTGAGAGGGCCTTGGAGACTGTTCGCACTCTCCCTGGTTGTGCTATCTCTGCGTCAACCAAAGAGGCCTCCCAATCTCTTCCCACAGAATTCGTGGTAGGCAAAGGGGTCCTCCCGAAGTCTGAGAATTTCCTCATTACTGACGTGAAGCGTGCTGCAGAGGTCATTGCCTCCATTATCCCGGAGTCTGACATTGAAGCAGCCACTTCTGTACCCCTGGGAACCTGTGTTTCCACTGTGCTGTATGGTTGTACCTCGGTGAGGTCCTAATTTATCAAATTCTTTTTTTTTCCTTTGGTTGTCCTACGCTTTTCCCTTTACACTAATTTTTCATGCTTGTCTTCAGACCGTCATTCAAATAAGCAGCTTGTTAAAGTGAATCTAAGCCCTGGAAGGGTCAGCCAATGCTTTCAAAGCTCTTGAGATGAAGTGTGCCGATATGACCTTTAAGAATAATGACCTTAAGGTCCAAGTAAAGGAGTTGCAAGAGAAAGTGGAGCAACAGTCTTCCTTTGCCAAGTCCAGACAAGAGGAGCTCAGCAAGACTAAGGAAGATCTCTGGTAAAAAATCGACGACTGGATAGAGGAGAGCCGGAAGTCCCTTGATGCTCTAGCTTCCTTCAGGAACATGAAGAGGGAGTACGAGGTGCTAGCCGAGGCCAGTGATGCTGTCAGGGAGGAGTTAGGGGCTGTCAGAGAGGCACTGGAGGTACGAGACATTACCATCCAGAAAAAGGATGAGCTGATTGCCTAGCTAGAGGATGACGTTCTCACCAGGTGGGCAAAAGGGTGGAT